AATACACTTTCTACGGATATGTGTGCTTCAGTTTCACTCCTTCCCACGTGATTATGTCTGTGGCTTGATGGCTTAAGTGTGTGCCTTATAAGCCTGGGGTCTGGCATTCGGAGCCAGTTGTCGCCATGGTTTTCTTTTAACAAATAAACATTTCTTTGTAAAACTAAAATAGCAAATATTATGGACATTATATTGACATTTTTTATATTTCTAAATATCACAACATGCTCGAAGCTAAGTCATTCATTAATAAAAACAAATAATTTGAAGCTGCTACAACTGTCGTTATTACTGATAATAAATATTATCAGCACTTTATTGAATTTGTTGGTATTTCTAAATATTACAAAATGTTCAAAGTTAAGTGAGTTAAATGATTACCACTTTCCATCAATACTTTCTCTCCTTATCACAGTAAAAGAAACTCATACTTTTCAGAATTTAATTATTAGGGAATATAATATGGAATCACGCATCTAAAGAAATTATAACGATATTAATTTAAGGATCTAAATACTGTATCTGTATTTAAATAGCTGGTAGTATTACTGTATTCCACTTTTTTTGTAAACACGCTTTATTAACACCTGAATTGCAGTGATTAAGAAAGAGACAGAAAAAAAGTGAATCCTGTTTTTGTTTAATGGTCTGTAGCTCAAATCCTGCTTAAAATTAGACACAAGAAGAGTATTATTGGACAACGTTTTGAGGCTAAAGAAATTAATAACGATATTAATTTAAAGATCTAAATATATTGAAACGCATACGGCCATTATTACAAGTTGTGCGACCCGACTTGCCAGTGCAGTGACGTCGCACAACCTTTCCTGAGGCTAGCCTATTTGGCTCGGGCCACACACACCTCAGGATGGTGATGTCACTGCCTTTCATATGAATCCTATCATATGGAAACATTTTGACACTGCGCTCAACAATCTTAGGAAGAACATGAAACACCTGGTATTTGATTAATTAAAAATATGTTTTTTGTAAAATCTGCACCAGGTAGTAAAACTTGTTTATAGGTCTGAAGTAGAGTTAACAGCTTCAGATTTAAAAGGTTAATAATAATATCTTCAGTGTTGCATTAACAT